AAGCCAAGAATTCTGCTAAACATTTGATGACGCACAGGACAGCCTCCCACCACAGAGAACTGTCCAGTCCCCGCTGTCAACACTGCTGAGGTGGAAAAGCCCTGATCCAGATGCCTTTTGGTAGGAATTTTGATAGTCCTCTTGCTGCTGGAAGGAGCTTGGGGCACAGGGTTAAGCACTTGGCTACTATCAGATAATTGGCAGTTTGAACTCACCTAGGATCCCCATGGTAGAAAGACTTGGTGCTTTGCTTTTCTAAAGATCAAAGCCTACAAAAGCCTGTTTGTGGAGCTCCTCAGGTGGGGATGCTGCAGCTCAGCAGCGTGCAGTGGCAGCTGTGGGCAGCGCTCAGTACACCGGCCTCTGCACAGCTCCCTTTTCGCACCGAGATACCGAAAGCCTTTTTTATTGCTAAGAATATGGAGACTGTTGAATAAGAAACACATTTAAATGCACAAAAAGCATGGAAATATTTTTTTAATATTCAAAAGAGAAGAAGAATTTTAGAAAGTTCTATTGAATATTGAATATAGGTTTTTAAATTCTGATCTAAAATAGCTTGGAGCGTGTACGTCAGATTTCACTGCATTATGAAATGATAGCTGGAAAGTTCGTCCCAGCAGCCTCATTAAGTCCTTTTCATTTTGTAACAGGACTTCTGCCACCCAGAGGCTCACACTGTACAAGACAGGATCAGAACCTGGATTCCTAACTGACTACAGTCTGTCCTGATAGTAAATTAAAGTGCCATCCTTTCCACTTTGGTTTTACTTGTTTAGAATGTTTCTGGAGTCCTGAGGATTGCTGTGTAACCCAGTTTTACAAGGGACAGGAGAACACCTGTCAAACAGTTTTGTAGTCTCACCTTGTACTTTAAATGCTTATCTAAATGCAAAAAGGTTTTCTACATTGTTTTAAAACTACATTCAGCATTTTATGAAGAAGTAAATACGAATTAAGACTTATTTAAAAAAAAAAAAAAAAAAGCCTATGTGGGGCAGTTCCTGCCCTGTCACATGGAGTCACTGTGAGTTGGAATTAATGACAAATTGAAGAGGAATGGTGTTGCATTCATTGTGAAAAAGAACATATCCAGATAAATCATGAGGTACAGTGCTGTCTGTAATAGGATAATATCCATGCGCCTACAGAGGAGCCCAGTTAATACCACTATTATTCAGATTTATGCACCAACCAGTAAAACCAGTGAGGATGAAATAGAAGAATTTTACCAACTTCTTCAATCTGAAATGGAGCAAACATGCAATCAAAATGTATTGATCATTACTGATGATTAGAATGCAAAAGTTGGGAGCAAAGAGGAAGGATCAGTATTTGGAAAATATGGCCTTGGGTGTTAGAAATAATGCTGGAGATTGCATGATAGGACTCTGCAAGATCAATGATTTGCTCATTTCAAATACCTTCTTTAGACAACATTAGAGACGATTATACACATGGAGATCACTAGCTGGAATACATAGAAATCAAATTAACTACACCTGTGGAAAGAGATGATGGAAAAGCTCCATATCATCAGTCAACACAAGGTCAGGGGCAGATTGTGGAACAGACCATCAATTGCTCATATGCAAATTCAAACTGAAGCTGAAGAAAATGAAAATAAGTCCACGGGAGCCAAAATATGACCTTGAATATATCCCACCTGAATTTAGAGATCATCTGAAGAACAGATTTGATACATTAAACACTTAAGACCAAAGATCAGAAGAGTTGTGGGATGACATCAAGAACATCATATAAGAAGAAAGGAAAAAGTCATTAAGAAGACAA